TCTCAGTGCATTACTTATATCGCAGACATCTCTGAAGAGCATCCGATACAAAAAACGTAAATTCACTTTGCTGCGACGTAGAAAAACAAGTATTTCAGATGAGCGTTGCGCAGAAGATCTAAATCAAGAAATGCATCCTATATTTCGCAAAGAGAACCGATCGACGTTTGCGTCACTCAAAATCCTTCGTTTTGATATCACAAGAACTGTTTTTTTCAACATTTTGAGGCAGAGAAAACCAAGCTTAGGAAGCGAGACTGTTCCTCCGTAGTTACATATTATGCATCTGAATACTCCAAACGTCGCCCAGACATTGTTAAAATTGATCACTCGTCCGCCATTGGTTCGGATAGGAATGTCAGTTGCATGTTTGTAAAGGTATTGGTTTCTAAATATGGCAAATTCCACCAAATTTAGAAGAGAAACCATTGAAATGCGTCACTGAACACTTCATGCAATACGGCTAATGTTTTGGTGATATAAACCTATGTGTATACAAATAAATAAAATGCATACTTCATCCTCAGGAGAAACAAATATCAGTAAATGCATGAAGTTGTGCAATATTGAAAAGTGACGACCGAACTTCCTTCGGGCTAACCTCGAATGGTGTTCTGCTCATCTTCTAGAGGAATTAAGACCAGACAGAACAGCAACTTAAAACTATTCCTTTCGTATTTAAAAAATTTAAGAAAACTTTGTCATCTTGTTACAAAGACTAACCTACGGAGTGTAAAAATGAACCCTTTTGTTGAATTGAACCAAAAAACTTTAGGATTCTCTTTAGGTCGGTCTTCTTTGATAATTTGCAGTACTTACTAGCAATTTTAACAATACTTTAATTACACCACCGGCTGTGATAATTACTTCTCGAATTATCTTTATCCTTTCTTAGTTTTTCTGGTGGGCGCTTTAGAACGGCCAAATTTATGATGGTATCATGAAAGCATCGTTTTCTCAGAAACAAAGAATATTTGTGCCACGAAAATTTCAAATTGAAAAATTGTTGAGAATGTGGGTATACGTGATTGAATGTGGTGTGAAATACAGCGACTTAAGCCCGGTTATAGATATTAGTTCAAGTGGAGAGTTCGGGCAGTATGGAACAAATATCAATTTAATATCGACGAACGACCGGTAATTAAGAACAAAGAACAAACAAAATTAAGGTATTGGAAAAATAGAGCAAAGTCGGTGAATAATCAGTTTACCCCATATGAAGTTTGTCCCCAACATCAAAGACATTTTACCTGCGAGAATATTCTCTTTATTTGAGTATTCTGTTTTGCACCTTAGAAATCACAGGATATTCGCGGGGTGCTAAAGAACACAATTGAAGTTCACTCTACCTCGTTAATGATATATTTTTTTTCCGATGAGTTCAGAGCACGTTCTTTCTTGAAACCGGAAACATTTGTAAGTCCATATAAATGTTTGAGTAACACCAAGTCATTGTTTAAGTTTACCTGATTAGTATGCCTTTTGTCATGTACACGGAAAGGAAAAACCGCACTAAGGTTTAAAGAACTTTGATTTATACCTGAGGGTTTAGCTATAATCAGCTCAACGCATCTTAGTTTTGTAAATGGAATGTGAAGGTAATTGGAGTTGACAAAAATCTGGAACAGCTAAAGTTTCGTCATGGGTACGTGGGAGCTAGTCGTAGATGCCAATTTCCACAATTTCTGACAAATTTTCCCAGAAATCAAGGAGCTAAAGAAAACTGAATCCAGCTCACTTGAAAAATCTTCAAGATGACTTGAATTTCAATTCCTTTTCGTGCTTGGCATGTATAAAAACGGAAGGACATAGTTACAAGTAATGTTAGTGATATTGAGTGAAAAAAAATGACAGAATTTTGGAGAAACCATTTTGCGCTTTATCTTCGATGGTGTCCAACTTAAGAGAATGACGTTCTTGTTACTGTCGCATGTCTCTTTAAATTTGAAAAAAAGCTTTCCCATTGTATGTGCGAGTGTTCTTTGAATGTAAACGAAAAAAGTTTTAGTTTTAACTGGTAAAGCGGTTAGCCTATTTTTGGTAGTCGCATCTCGTAACAGTCTGCATCTAAGGAATAACCTCATTTAACCAATTGGTGCAGTACTGAAAGTAAGTCACGATGAAAGTCAAAGATGGCGAACTTCAAGTTAACATTCTTCATGTATAGTATATTACCAGCTTAAAAACTTTGGTGTAGACCCCACCTAGAGTCGTCGCGAGCAAATATATGAAAAGTGCGTTAACCTCTACTATTTTTAGTCATCTGTGAAACTTTCTTTACTACTGAGGATGAAATATAGAAATTGCAATGTGAACAATCTGATAAAACTTTAAACATGATATCTGAAATTGTTTCGATGATATGTGAAAGGAGACACTTTTTTTTCTCTTCACTTGTCTTCCGCGTTAAATGAGTATACGAACAGTTTTCTTAATATGAAAGGTGACAAACCTCTTTGTTACAGCAGTGTCAATCAAACGGTCAATCAAACTGTCACTCGCGTAAGTTGAGTTGGCTTACTTACGGAAGCTTCTTTCGTGATTGGTTCATCGGGTCTGAAAGACTAACAAAGGTGTCTTGTAAGGAAACAGGCTCTTCATGTTGGCTCGAAGAGTTTTTGGTCATTTTATTCCCCGATATTTGGAATATATGATACTAGAACGGATCATACGTAATTCGAATCAATTCGTTTCTTCAAAAACGATCGATGAGTCAGCTAAGAATGGACTTTTACTGAAATAGTTTGATGCAAAGTTCCTTAGCAAGCGTTACAGTGCAACTTTTTTTCTAATGATACGCTGACATAATTGCACGAAAATACCTTCTATTGTACGGTTAAAATTCCGTAACGATACAAAGACAATTGAAATAATTAAACTGAATTAAAGGTAGTTTGAAGGAAATATCGGACTTATTTAGATCGTTGGTTGATTTCACAGTCTCGATGACTTCTAGCGCGTTTCAACTTGATATTAAGACTCGAACACATTTATTAAAATGACTAAGAATTCTTGAGTACTTCACCAAAAGTAATAAAGTTCTAAAACATTGCATCATTGTATCACTGTATTAAGGCTGAAAAAAAAAGGCTGAAACTTTACTGATGCGTTAAGGAAAGCGTGTTTCGATGAAATTACCCGTATCCATTTTAAAAAGTCCATTTTTGTGAAACTCCTTGCTAGGACATATACCGACATGTATTCACTATAACTAAACAAGTTCAGTCTCTATTTGAGCGTATCCAGGAAGCTTTTCTAATTCTTCAAGAGGGGGAGCCAATATGAGATCAGCTCTATGAAAGTTAACTCGAATTTGTCTTTTGTGTTATCATATCATGAGTCATTTGACCCCTTCAAGTGAAGGAAAACCCTTTTCAGTTGAAAAGGCGAATGCTAATGTAATATCAAAGATGCCTCGTGGCTAAATTTAGTATTTTATACTCAGGCTAATCACTGCGGTTTTTAGATATATTCCTGGTGAGTTATTTTTGAACACAATTTGGAAGTAATCATCGAAGGTATTTGTTAAGAGGGAATTAAAAAGCTTTTTTGACGATTTTTCGAGAGCTTTATCACTAGAAGTTTACAACGTAAATATACTCTCTTTTTATGATATGTTAATTCTTGTAGAGGTCAGTAAAGACATGGCCCTGTAAAACGCCTCAGAGTGACTTATCCCTACCCTCCCCCTGTTTGACCAATGATTGCTCCATTGTGACCTGACCGCACTGTTAGACTGGTACCGTGTGAAAGTCTGGCAATTATTTGGCATTTTTTCTTTTTTCGTCTTTGCAAAGAGCTCTTACTTTCAGCAAGCAAATATTTGTTTCTTTACCGCCAACGAGCCAATATCTGTAAATCCAGTCTCGTTAAAAGGTTGTTAATCTTAGCGCCCAGTTAACAATGGAAGCCAATTGGAGTTCACATTGTGAATCCCACGGTGAAAACAGGAGACAATATGTATTCACAGTTTATTTAAATATCCTCACTAATGGTGTATTGAAAAACACGCGAAAGAACAGCATGAGAATATCGATTAGTCGCTTTAGAGGCTTCAGTGAATCAGCTTAAAGCGGTGGACTTTGAATTTCTTCATCCAGAAAATTCATTACTGGAATTTTCTGAGAAAAAAAGGTAAGAATTTTTAAAAGGCCGGAAAAATGTACTCGGCAAAAGATGGCTAAGCTTAAGCGTCTCAGATAATGCATTGAACTTCCTTCCAAGAGTTGCGTTTTTTTTTTTTTTTTTCGAGATCAGTTTGAGCGGTTTACTAAATCGTTCAGTTTGAAAAAAAAAAAAAACTGCGTAGAGCAGTTAAGGCGTTCCAATCTATCGCTCTCCTAAATGTTCAGTAGGCATGAAATAAAAATTGTTGTTCAATATTTCACTGGGCATTAATTGCTTTGTTTGTGTCACAACCGAAAAAAGGGCCGGCTCTGCTGGAGTTGAGAAGTGAGCTACTAAGTGAGGGATTCTTGGAAGTTTCTTCTCCGAAAAAAGACCACCCAAGAGATGAAATAATATTGCAGTTTGCGAGTCTTTGCCAGATCAACTACTCTGCCTTAAACAAAGTGGCAGTTCCTTGAACCACCCGCCATGAGAAATAACAAACATAACTGTGTTTTGACAGGAAATTATAGTGGAGGTGATGAATAACCCTTGTTAGTGGCAACCGCAAACAATAGAGGCGTGGAGGCTAATTAACACTCTTTTAAATCACCAGAGAATTTGATTACAAAGCTATTTCTTCAACGCTCCAAACTTTTTCGCTTCGGTGCCGGTCTAACAGTGCAACACTGATCAAAATATTTTCACGAACGCGGAAAATGTACTTGCTTAAGGGCGGTGATCTCTGTTCTCACTGCCTACGTGATGATATGGTTGTCTCGGATGGAACGAGGGTCATATAGCCAGCTCAACTAAGCCACAGATAACACAATACAAGGGGCCATTATTGCGTGTGTATTGATACACGTAGAACCAATCGTATTTCATCATAACAATCGTGCTATCCAGTACAAAAGCAGGCAACGGAAAAGTGCTCGCAGAACTTCGACAAACTCTACACAAGTAACATCCTTTGAGTCAAACCGTACCATGATTTCGTCAACCGAAGTTGGATCTTCGGCCTTTACGCCCGTGTCACAACCTAAGTCGCCAATTGGGCAAGCCGATGAGAACAGAGATGAATACCAGTGGAGAAATCGCAACACGAACTTGCCATTTTCTCGTCATTTCTGGTCTGTATGGGGACCATACTCTCCCACTTTCAGTCCAGCAGCTATGGATCATGTTTTGAAGCCTTCAAGTCCTCCCCTTTGGCCCATGTGCTCGGCCTTTGGAGGGCCAGCCTATCCTTCCTTTTGGAAGGAACGCTTTCACCAGTTCAGATTCGCGTCGTGTTCTGATGAAGAAAAGCCCAGTCAGTCTTACATCGGACTTATCGCCGAAGCAATCCTAAGCTCACCCGAAGAGAAACTTATTCTGAGTGACATTTATAACTACATCCTGACACATTACCCTTACTTCAGAAACAAGGGCACTGGCTGGCGAAACAGCATACGTCATAATCTGTCTCTAAACGACTGTTTTGTCAAGGCTGGGCGCAGTCCGAACGGGAAGGGCCATTTCTGGGCGATCAGCTCCGTGTACTATGAGGACTTCAGACGCGGTGACTTCAGGAGAAGAAGAATACAGAAAAGGTCTCACAAAAGCCGTAGAGCATCGAGCGAATCCAAAGATGATGTCGTTATCTGCAAAGCAGAGAGCAGCGAGGAAGTAGGAAAAGTCACTGAGGAACAAGATGAATTGGTTGTCGAGTGTTCCACAAGTGAATGCGACGAACAGAAAGAAGAAGAACCCACCACAGAGAAGATTGAAAGTCTTTGCCAAGAAAAGCGCAAGTCGTTTGACATGGCTAGCTTGCTTGCACCCGATAGAGGACAACGCGAAGGAGGATTTCTTGTCCCAGTATACCCTCGTCCGTTCGACCCAAGTTTCGTGTACACCGCGCGCTATCCGGCGCATGTAGGTGAATATGTCTCTCCTTCGCCGGTGTTTGAGCGCTCGCATGGATCAGAGCCAACAAAGCTTATTTTCCCATACAATTATAGACTTGCTTGTTAATTCAGGCATTTGAACTCTTTGGACAGCCAATTTGCAGTCGAAAGAAGTCCTGCAAACAACGAGCTCACGTAAACAGCCTGGATTTTTGCTCCCGTAGAACTGACAAGGTCGGTCAAATAGGCCGAAATTAGACTGTTTAATCAGAGGTTTAACTATAACAAACAGTGTTTAGAAGAACTATATGAAAAGAACACTCACGAGAAATTATTTCAGAGTTTGAGTCTATCTATTATATTTTAGCGTCGTTTAAAAAGAATAGAGGAAAAATGAAACGATTGTGAAAATATTTTATTCCAAAGTATTTGACTATGTCAATCTGAGGGATTCTTTTCCTGTTTTAGGAAAGTGATTTTATTTTAACTCATTGCAGTATTTGTAAATAGTTTCTTTCGAAGAAAAGGAACTTGAAAAAGAAATTAGTCAGGAAGACACAGAGGAAATGATATATTAATGATTACAGATTTAATAATTCACTCATTCAGAGCAAGAAACTGTAGCTAACAACTCATTTGCAAAGCTTTAAATACTTTCGTAAAGAAAATTCGTTGTTTCATTTTGGAACTAAATTATTTCATTACTGAACGCAAAGTTATTGAAACTTCAATTTGCCGTAGATGCTTTTTACAGAGCGAAAGTAATGTAACGCGTTAAAATATTTGGGCTATTATTTTTTTTCTATGGCGAGTGAAGGAAGCTATGGAGTTATTTTAGCTGGATGCACGTAGAAAACTGTCTTAAACTCACTTGTTTAGATCAGTAAAACTAGTGAAAGCGTATGGCTTTACCGTTGAATAAACTCCAGTATATGTTTAATTGCGGTTTCCCGATTCATTTGTGTTTTCTCCTTGCATTAATCGTTGTTTCAAACGTACGTCAAGGACACTTCGTGATCTGTAAAGTCGTTGGGTTTGAAGTCTCAATAATGGCAAAACAGGAAGATACAGAAAAGAAAACAAACTATTTTGGACTCTAAACTGTCTTGATTTCAAGATAAACTACCCTAAACGTTAGACAGATCGAGGTTTTGTTATTTTTCGTGTTTCGTTTTTGTTTACGGAGAAACATTGGCCATTCATTCGAAAATATTTCGTGAATTTCATTGAGATGTTTTGCTGTCAGTGAAAGTTTTTAATACTACAGTTGGTATGCGTGTTGGATTAAAACTGGATATAAAATATTTTGTTTCTTTTTCAATGGCTCCCAGAGTATTACTTGAGTTAAAAGTCAATGAAAACTTCAAAATAGAAACTTTAAGTTAAAAACGGAAACATCTTGCCTTGAAATATGCCTGTAGGAAGACACAATACGCGATATGTAGCAAGTATTTTTCATAGTACATGACGTGAAATAAATGTCAGCGCAAACTGGTTGTTCAAATATCCGGGATTAGTTGTATTTGATATATCAGATTGACGGTAAGATATTGTTTATTAGCGAGTTTCAACAAGCAAAACAGTTTAAACAACATGTAATTGGCAAGTTTGGCCCCACACAACGACTTTATCGTTTACTGAAGATACGTGTACTGTGAAATATTGACCCAAACTGGCCATTGTCATGAATTGAAAGGCACCAGATTCATTTTCTTTTTAAAACGCTTTTGTTCTTTCTTGCCTGTCTCAGTAACGTGGCTGTTCTAATATACTTAAAAACGGACAAAAGATTAACAGAAAATGATTAATTCCCATCAAAGCAGTTTAGAATAGAAAATTCCGGTTGCCTTTCTTTGCACGGAAACTTTTAAAGGATGACTTGCAGAAACACACACACAAAAAAACGAAATCACTCACGAGACGAAAACTCGATATAAACACAGAAAAAATAAATTATCATCCATAAGATTTGCCCAAAGAAGGGATAAACCTTTAGATATGATCAATTCAAATACATTAATTGTACTTGATGATTTTTGATTAAGTCGCTTACCAAGAATCATCTAGCAATGAAAACAGTATTTACTGACGTACTTATAAAAAAAAGACAATAGCTAGTCCATGCAACAGTGGACTTCCCAAATGTTTAAGAAAAACCACACTGCACTCCGGAACTTAAATCAGTCTACAGCAAATGAATTGGGCGTTACTTTTAATAGGAGCTATGAAATGGGTAAAATTTTAATTGAATGCCTCTTAGAAAGGTTTTCAGCCTCCTCTTGAAATATTTCCATCTGTACATTATTATGGAAAGAGACAAAAGATTTCTAACCGTGAACAATACACCTGAGTGTACACCTCATTATGAGACGCTCGCTACTAAGTTAAACAGATTCGAAAACGTTTTCCAAGAAACTGCACGTGTAAAACAAATCAGACATAATTATATGGAAAACGTTTATGGCACTGAATTTCAAAAAATGTCTGTGTTAGAAAAACGTGATTTTTTTTTTAAGAAATTAATTTTCGTTTCTTTTCGATTTATCGCGCATCGTGAATTTTTACAATTTATCGATTGTGCTTCGACATAACAAATCTGTCATTTTCGCACGCGCTATATTATCTTTTAATTTCCTTTTATTTCAGGAATATAAAAGGCCATTGTTTCAAAGTGACAAAAAACTAACTATTTAAAAGTTATAAATCAAATGACACAGCTTTTTGAATTCTATTTGAATTGCACGAGTTATGGTAACTAAAGAAAGAAAAAAACTCCGTAAAAATAGACCATGTTTTAAATAATATTAATTGAAATGATGTTGCATAAGAAGATTTACGGAAAAAAAAATTAATATGCTCAGTATTATTTGATGAATTTAACCTCAGATAAAACAACACATGCATTTTATTCAGTGACTGTACTATATATTTTCTCCACAACCATTTTAATGTCTTCCTGTTGAAAAATCTATTTCTCGTGTATCAACTTTCCTCAAAGTTGATTCGTAAATTTCTGGTCTTATCTTATATCTTTCATTCATACGCTGATATGGCTTGTTTTTCCTTCATAACGTCCAGTATAGCAATCAAAGAAACAAAATTAAAGGCAAAATTTACGCTCATTACAACAGATATCTGGAGTGCCAAGATTGCTACTATATTTCAGTTTAATATGGTAAACTTTGATGGCTTTCGTGAGCTATATATCACCGCTTAGACCCGCGTAAAATATGCAGTTTATCTCATAAACTGTTGTGGAATCATTGGTAGTGACTGAAGAATTTTAAATGTGTTCAGTGCATGAAAATAAAGGGCAATGGAAAAAGACATTCAGACAAAAAACAAACGCAGGGGGAACACTAGAGACATGTGCAAAGAGAGTGAAATATTTATTTCACGTTTGGTTCTGACCAAAACGGAAACCCTTGCGAGTCTTAAAACAGTGCGACATGCAAACGAACAGTTCAATTTTTTTAATCACATTTCTTAACTTCTTCTGGAATAACACAACAGTTTATCTTTCACAGAACTGAACTAACCTTTGTAACTATATATATATATTTTTTTTTTTATTTTTTTTATTTTTTTTCCTCATCATTATTTTTTTTTAAAAAACTGTTCGGTATTGAAAGCTATTTGATTGCAATGTACTGAAACTAAATTTTCTAGTTACATAAGTTAGCTTACTGGGCGGCAAAATCCTATGACTATTTTTCGCAACAAAAATCCCAGTACATAAAGAATTATATAAGTGCCAAAGTGATGATACAACAGGCGATCGGGTGGTCTTAATACCGCTACAAGTAGTGCATTAACTGAGGTATTCAATCGTACCGATCAATTCTTCTTCATTATCATTCACTCACTTTCCCGCAAATTTCCTGCTTTGAAAAGTAATTAAGTTCGTCACCGCAGTCTACCTGGTCGCAGCTTTCAACCCTCGATTACTTTTACAGCCTTTTGCCGTCTTTTGTTTGGAAAATTTGTTCATTATCAAGCTGAGTGCCTGGGAAGCGTATGATTTCTGTTTAAGTCGCTTTCTCTGCACAAAAACCAATATTCACTAATGGCTCAAACAACGCGGATTATATTGTCCTTGGGAAACTTTTCTAGCCGCAATCTGGTTCAAATCTTAAGCTTCTTTTAGATGCGATGAACAAATAATTTTTGCTTGATTTTTCTGGGTAGTGAAAAGTCCACTGGATAAAATCGGTGACATTACATAAAAAAAAAAAAACCCAAATACATTAAGGAAATTTTAATGAATTATTCCAAGGTTTAAATTAAACTGATTAAATTTTGCTGAATTTTATTAATTTTTTCGTTTTTTTTTTGCTTAGGTAAAATTCAAATTCAAGGTAGAAATTCTTCTGTACTTTTCAAAGTAGAAGGAAAAACCTGGCAGAGACTGAAACAGCATTTGGATGCCATGTTTCCAAGGCTAACTTCACCTCTCGTTTACTTTAATCGTTACAATGACTAATTCCTCGAATGATTACAATCCATATTATCAAAGAACCTCGGAAAAATAACGGAAAAAAAAATCATAATTTTCTGTAAAAACTACGAAGGCCCCTTTCGATTCTCTTTCGCTATAATTTCACAATCACACTTCAATTCTCCATTCGATTCAACTTTAAATCTCATGAAAATCACTGCCTTTTAAACTTGTTTTACGTTTCATTAGTTTTCTATTTTGATTTCTTGTTGATTATGCTGAATAAAGTTGTTTTTGAGAGAAATCAATGTGATAAGGCAGTGGGCCACGGAGATGCAAAGAAACAAAAATGTAGCGACGCTTTCCATTTAATTGTAAATTATTTTATTTATACCTTTATGAGCAATGTTTGACCAGACCGGTCCAGTTTAGTTGCAAACTGGTTTAACAGGGAACCTTTTCAAAATTTAATAATGCTTACTATTCGCTGTATTTTAATAAGTCATGGCATTCGATAAATTTCCCTATAAACTTCATTTTGCAGCGTTCGATCATTTCTCTATCTTGTACTCGTCGTGTTTTCGCGAAAAAGGAGATTCTCACCATTTTTGTCTAATAGAGCTGAGACTGAAATGAAATTATGACAACAAGAAATCAAGGAAGGGAAAATACCAGATGTATTTATTACGTTTAATATCACTCCTTACGATTCTGTCGACAAGTGTCCATTTATCCTTTAACAACACATCCACAAAGTTTCATTTGTCTACCTGATACGTTATTGAGCTGTTGATTTTTGTGGTTTACTTCAAACACGATTCGCAAAGACCCCGACAAACTTCAAAACAAAAAACAAAACATTCACAGAGTTTCACATCTTCTTTTAATAATGAATTGATCGAGCTACGGAAGACAATTCTTAGCCTGGTATTCCAAAACTTTCCGGAAAATTCGATTTCTTCCTTACAGTCTGAGCCGAAAAGTAGCAAAAAAACTGAAACCTTCTTTGAACTTTCCGCCAAAATTGACATCTAAACAATGACAACAGCTGTCAGAATTCACAAACAAAACGTACACATCGTCAACGAAGATTTTTATACAATAATATTTATACTACATAGCTGATATTTTGCAAGTTAGCTTGTTGTTAATTTAAAAAAATATTTTTAGAATTTGTCGGAACTTGCTTTGACACGTCAGTATTGCCAACTTTAAACAAAATTCCCTCCACGATAATTAGCCAATCAGAAAGCTTGATCGGAGTCTGTATCTCTGTTTAAGTGTTAAACGTGCTACAACACAATATATTGCGCAATATGGCCACACTCTTTACAAAACACACCTTCTATTTGTTTCGAAAGATACCAAAGATCTTAAACACTTCCTTTAGCTCCAGATTAAACTGACAGGGTAAATTAAAACCACTTGTCGCTGATTGCAAAAAACGTTGTTGGAATTCGCCAACATTCTCATGGCTTCTTCGAGGGTTTCCTATGATATTTGTTGGTAATTAAAAATAACTGCAAACATTCCTTTGTTTATTTGTTAGCTTTGCTATAAAGCAACGCCAGTGCACCACGCATGGACACGTTTCAGGCTAAAAATAGCTTAAGAGTTATGAAACGTGCTCGAAATAGTTTTGTGATACTAACACACTTTTTATGCGTTCCTGCTATACATTAAAACACTTAAATTTCTCCTAGTTTGGAATTTCTACTTTTTCCTAAATTATTCCACCTGAGGCCAGTATTCTTTATCAATAGACGCGGCGATTTCAAAAGTTAAAATCTTCGTATTACTTTTTTCTAATTGTGTCATCTTTGCACTATCAGGAATTATCATTATATTTGCCTGAGTTTGTTGGAGGACAATTACATAAATAGGATTTACTTACACCATTATTTGTGTAACAATTTGACCAAAACAGTGGCCATGCAGTTACTATAGAAACCTGGAAGGAATTCTTTCTTGTGAAGTCTTAAGATTTTTTAGGTTTTTTTCGAACAGGTTCTTTCGGCACGAAACATTTTCTAGACTCAAGCAACTGCATCTATTGTGAATTTACCTCAGTGACTTGAATGATGATACCAGCTAACACATCGAAATGTAAACGGTCTTGATTTTTCTAACTTATAATCATCGAGTGATCGATAATTCCGTTCATTCAATTCTAATACTCTAAGGGGCCGACTATTTAACTCTTGAGGGGGGGGGTGGGTGATTTTGAAAAACAATTTCCTGCAAGCGCTTGTTGGAAGAAAAAAATTGCATGCAGCCCAAATGTAACAGAAAAAAAGAGCATTTAGAACGGAAAAAAATATCCTGCCCAGCAGATTTCTAGAAAAAAATTTTCTTGATGACCAGAAATCACCCACCCACCCACCTCCCCCCCCAAAAGTTAAATGGTCGGCCCCTAAGTACCCTTCGATCTTTCTAGAAATTTCTGGGGGGATCGAAGGGACCTCTACTCACAGGGTAGAACTCAAAGAAACAAGACCTTCAAATGCATCATTCCAATTTTAGAAATCGGTAAATTTCCACCCGGAGTATTTTGTAGATCTTTATGACAAAATAAAAGATACTTCATGACAAGGTTACGAATTGCCTATTGATATCTGGAGAATGTCTCAATCTGTAAATGAAACATGAGCGCAAGGCTATGAAAACAAGGCTTGAGTATTTATAAAAAATTCCTCGAGGAACTAATCCTTCTTGCTCTTTTATGATTAGCATAACTTTTCCTCCTTTGTATCAATCGATCGCTCATTCCTTTTTGAATACGTTTTAGCTTAGAATTTTTTGAGTAAGCAGCTTGTTAAACCATTATGTATATTCCAAAAGATAGTTGATACTTCAATTTTCTCTCAACGTCGTTCCCAGGGCCTTTTCCCTTAGTTGGGGGTGAGACTGAAGGAAAAGGCCCTGGCAAAGAAGGTTGCTTTTCCCTATTTATTCCTCATAACTAGGTTTCCTGAGAGTTCTTTTTCCTTCCGTTTTTCTAAAATCAAGCTCAGGAACATACCCACCATATTCTCATACCTGTAAAGTTGCCGCCTCGCTCTCAAGGTTATCGGTTAGCAATCTCCAACCGCTCTCTTGTTTTGTTGTCAGCGCGAGGCCTGGGAAGGAGTGGCGCGAGCAAGGCGGGTAAGTCTCAGGAAATGACGTCAGGACCTGTATAAGGGCGTGCTTGAGCACCTCTAAAATTATTAACTGCCGTCGCTAAACAAGTAAATCCGATTCATGGTACAAGGCGATGTGCAACGTGAAAATAAGAAGGTATATTTGATAGCGCAGCTTGCAGAGCGTAGCCCCATAGTTATACAAAATGGTAGTAGTAATCCATCAAGCCGAAAGAATTTGGAAATATGACCGTTCGGGCGTCTGTACAAGGTGCTACTTTTAGGATGCSCGGTTAACTGTACCGCGGGCACGCCAACGCCACGACTTTGTCCAGTAATCCAGTGGTCAGTGCACTGGGCTCCGAGTCGGACGACCCGGCTTCTAGTCCTGGCCGGGGCAAAGCGTTGTACCCTTAGACGTGCGGGAAAAAATAAATGCGAGCTCCGCTTTAGGCTTGGCTAAATGTATGTATTATCTTTCTATGTCTACAAGATCTTTCCCAAAGATGAAATTTACACAATTTGTACACAGAAAGAAATTAGAAAGTATGCCAAGATAGGTAGCGTATGTGAATCAGAGCTAGATATCCTTTGCTGACATTTTTTTAATTACTGCAATATTGTAAGAGAAATCTTACGTCCAAAGTTTGCAACTCGAACCCAGTTCCCTTAATGTTTACTCCTTTGACATAAAGATAAGGATTACTTTACGTGTTCCTTTACTGGTGTCACTCAAGTATTCATTCACCTTAACTTTTTTTCATTAAAAATATTAGCTCTTGGCATGTTGTTTCACAAATATAGAAAGCGAACATGAATAAAACGCGCTCAGAAATCACTGAGTGAAAGGCGGCGCTCGTTGAAAACACGAACTAAAGTTACTTGTACTTGAGTGAAATCTATTTTTCAAAAAAATTCATATCTTGATGAATCTGTAACAAACTTTATTTTCGTATAAACCACCCAACTCCTCAAGGTTAACCAGCTCATATTCCTGGTAACATGAAACAAAGAAGAAAACGAATGAGTAAAAAAGTAAAATGACCACTGAAAAAAAAATTAAACAACCGGGGAAAACTCTTGTCGAGTGACCAAGCGCTCGGTTACGGTTAAATTTCGAACTTGAAAATGTGCTTTTTGCCAATAACAAGGCCTACTCTTTGCAATAGAAAGAGAATTTTTTTTGTGCCAAATTAGGAGATTAACTCGAAAAGTGCGGTGTCATATGTGCTATATTGCGTGTGTGTGCGGGGTTCATTGAAGAATATTACTAGATTTTCTTCATATTGTTTGTTTGAAAGGTTCGGTCATGAAAGTCTTCATATTGTTTGTTTGAAAGGTTCGGTCATGAAAGAAAATCTTTTCATATATCATTGTTTATTTCATAGTGTTTGTGCTCTTAGATTTACAAACAAATCTAAACCTTTAACTGTCGGATTCTTATAATTAAACACAAATTACTTAGAACTTAAAAGTAACTCACGAAAATGTGGCAAACTAAACAGCTAGTATAAGAGAGAATCGGAATACTTGTTGAACAAGACAAGAATTTACCGCGAGGTCATTTAGGCAGACCGCTTGTGAGTTACCACCCAAGAGAAATAAATGCAAATTTAGCCTCGAAAACAACATTCATAATAGGCTTTGGTTTATCAATCTCCCATAAATAAGTTTTGCCCATTTTACAAAGAAATCATGCTTGAAGATTTTTTGCTTTTAAAAACACTCTGCCCTGTCTGATGAGGTACTTAGATTTAGCATAGATACTTCGAAACTTTTTAACTGTTCTGAGAGATTCGCCCTGCGAGATAACGTTCTTCACTATGTCCATAACGACGCTTGTTTTTTTCATGAATGGTATTCTTTACGGGTTTTTAAGGGGCTTGGAATCATTTCTTTCGCCCGGCGTCTCTGATAGGCGACGCAAAGTTTGAAAAGAATATTCAAATTACCGGCGACTTTCAACTAACAATACGTGAAACGATTTCCAAAACAGTTGTTACGAAACCGAACCACTTGAATACAAGGTTGCCGCCACGCCTTGTTGACAACAAACCAATGCCGATACAAACAGTGAAAAACACTTCAGTTGTTTTGATTTTATCACTTAAAAAGCAAACCGCCGTTTTTGAAGTTTGCAGTTTTACGCACAGACGATTCAGAGCATTAAAAGTGTATTGAAAAATAGAGGCTCCATGGTTGCCAAGCAAAATTCCTGAGGAGGTTGGTGATAACTGCAATGACCTGTGTCCTGTGTTGTTTTGAAATTTTGCGCGGGAAATTGGCGCGCGGGTGGCCAGAATTGATCTCCTTACGCATGCCCGATGTTTGAGTTCAGCGTTGATGAATTGAAAACTACCGTTTAATAGAGGTAAAGTTCACTGGTGTTGCATTGGAATCGCTCTTCCTGCCACACAGGAATAGCTATCATAACCAAAGAGAACACATCGAAACTCTCGATGACAAGAGACAAGAGCAAAGATTCCGAGGGTTTTCAGGTTTCACTTTATCTGTTTATATACTAAGAAGCTAGAGAGTGCCAACAAGATATAACAAATTGCCATGCAGCTCACACCATTTTTGGTTCCTCGTTGTTGTTTCAAAAGTTTAACATTTGTTTAAAATTTCCAGCAGCGAGCTGCAAATCAGTCAAATTTCTATCACTTCACTTTCGCTGTTCGGTTGGAATCGCTTTTCTTGCCACACAGGAATAGCTATCACAACAGAATAAAACACATCGAAACTCATCAGAACTACAAAGATATTCCGTTCGATCTGTTCAACAAGAAACAAAATAACAAACACTGGCATGTTGATCAAAACCCGGTAGCTGATGAAAGCGAGGCTTAAACAATGATTGACATTGCTGGCACCCACCACGTGGTATAAGCCGTGCAAGGATGTAAGGAACAAGTAACAGGCCAGGTAACCTCCCGAATATCCCTGAAACGCCTCCAAATGGAACATCCGCTGTGCAAAATCAGGCCTGACAACAAACACAAGCCAGAAAAATAACTGGACGATCCCGAGGAGGTAAATGACCAACGTAGAGCCAGCTGTCAGGGGTTTACGTGGCTGTAGAAGTGGTGTGGAGATCTCTCTAAAGAAAGAAACAATCGAGGCTCTGTTTGATTCACGGCACCAAAGAACTAGGGTGATGAGAGCGAGGAACGAATCAAGGACCATGAAAAACAGGGCGATAGAGAGAGGCAGCATGCCTCTGAGGATCATCATTGTAATTATTGAATCAACAAAGAGCAGGCGACCAACAACTGAGGTCAGACATTCCTGGTGTTGGGACATCTTATGATTGGAGCGAGCTGCAATCAACAGAATGAAACCAATCTCAAATACTCCAAGCCCCACCAAGCGAAGGTACCCCTCAGAACGGCCCTGAAGTTCCGGCAACCGTAATATCATAGCCCAAAGCTGGGGGGCGAAGAGGATACTAACGCCTCCGATGACGTACGCGAGTAAGCAGGACCACTGAGTGAATCTTTCTGTTTTGGTCAGCGGCTTCTCCCGAGGAATGGAAAGCATGAATTTGAACCAGTTGAACATGACGATGATAAGTATAAACTGAATGAAATAGCTCTGAAAGGAAAAAAAAGAGTTGTAATTGAGAACCAAAAAAATGGTACGTAATATTTCGGGTTTGAGATGTCTAGCGTTAGTGAAACGACGCCACGTTTTTGGGGTGAAGTTTGATTTACGATTGGGTGAGCCTCGGATCTTTTGGTCAGTTATGTGATGACATCGCTTACGAAAGTTTCGACTATGACCTGCGATCAGAATGTGTGGGATGAACTAACATCCCTAGACTACAAGCAGTCCATCCTTTCCGGCAAAGTCCGTCGCGCGTGTCAAAAATAAAAATCAGTCAGAAAAACTGATGTTTGCGCACCGCGCGCGGGGAACTCTTGGAGTGACGCAAATGCGTTGCGGGAACTCCACGAGTGAAGCGCTCGTGGAGCACCTACAGCGTTGCTCAGTGCAGTCAACAATGCCTCTAACCGTGTCAACCACGAACAGAATCGTTACTTCCGGCACAGACGGAGAAACGTCAAGGGGAAAAAATTACAGAAAATAGACATTATCAAAATTCAGACTTACGTTCAATAAAAATGAAAATTTTTGTTAAAAATGAGAGGTTAGCAAGATTGACATTATGGTCCTTAATTTTAAACTTTCTGGTTAAGTAGGAAGAATCAAGCTGATAAAAGGGTTAAAAATAATAAACACGAGCAAAGCCCCTCCCCCCCCTTACTTTTTTTTAATAGTTGCCTTGTCTCTTCAGGCCCTTTTCAACGTCAGTTTTTCTAATTTCTTTGTACCGGGTATAGTGCACTATGACGATAGTGAATTAAGGTATAAGGAGGCTATACACGTTATATTCCGTACTTTAGATATTAATTTTGTTTTTCACGGCTCAAGCAAACACTTAAAACTCACTGATCAAAATATTATCCCACAATCGGGCTTTAATCAAGAAATATCAACTTCAGTGAACTAAAGAGTTATAGTCAAAGAGATGGATTTCATACCAAGGAAACTGTGGCTCATGCTACTCCAGTTAAAAAAATATGTTCAGCATATTAGATATCCCTGTTTATGATCTTTTAACCCCGAAATCACACACAGCACTCTTGGGTCGCCTTTTGTTACACGTAAAGAATGGTGAACTTGTCTAAAGACTCTTCGAGATTTAGATTTGTTCGTGCATGGTAAGAGATTCGCATAATGAGATAAGAAAGATGCTTTTACCGTTTGACGGTTAGTATTTCATAGGCATTTTTTACTGTTGACGGTAAAAATATCTCCTTTCTGACGATTGACGGTTAAATTTGAGGTCATTTAACAGCTAGAGGTTAAACTTCATCGAGACCCTCTGGCAATGACGTGAAAAAATACTAGAGCCATTGATTAACTTTATCTTATCTAAACTTGAGCGCATCTCAGGTTGTGATTCGTGGAGTCGGAATATCTTTGGCTCAAGCTTGCCAACGGAAATGATTTTAGCCATTTCCAGCTGAGAGATAAAACAAATACTGAAAGATGAAACAGGACTTCCTGATAGAGATCTTGTTACTAAAGAAGCTAAAACCAGAGGCCGCCCAGGAACTACTTACACGAGTCACGGTGTTTCATATCCATTGCTATACATTTTCCTTGTATACCTTCAGCAATCACTAGATACATTGGAAATTTTTTTTAGAATAGGTTACGTTGGCTCAAACCGAAATACAAACACAAAACTTTTTAGGTAATTTGTCTTGTTAAGGAATTAACCGTTTGGGTGTATAAACAGTAAAACCGGTTTCATTACTCCCTCCCCTCCCCTCCCCCCACACGGCCCCTTCTCTGATTTGTTACTTAAATAATCAGACGGAATATCCCAGTCCGAGAAAAGAGAAAAAAACAGTTTATTTTGTTTTGTTTTGTTTTTTTTTTAAGTAGTGTGGAGGAAATGGACGGCGTTTCAAACCCTTCGTAGGTGGAGGAGAACCGTGGACAAGGAGGCGGCCAACGCAACCACACCTGGAATGAAATAGAGAAGTTGGCCCGGGATAGAAGGAGATGGCGTGAGGTTTCCTTGGAGCTATGCTCCACAGGGAGTGAAAAGGGATAAGCTAGTGTGGAGTAGCTAAATTACCGTGCGAGGTAAAAAATTCCTTTAAGGAATATGTTGTTTTCCCTAAATATACTGACAAACCTAGGATAAATCCTTGTAAGGAATTCCCCACGATTTGAACGAAGTTTTAAAGCTTAGTTACTTCTTAATTTGCTAAGAAGGACAGAGGTAACAAAGGTCGCAATATATTAGTTAAGTAGAGCTCGAGGACAAAGAAAACTGAGTCAATTGTTAAGGTTTAGTGCAAAGGCTGTGTTTGTTAGATCGAGGCATTAAGCTTCATATTTCTTAAACAAAGTCGACGCTCTCGTTAGCGGAAACGTTCACAAAGAAGACAGGCTGTCCGCCGATCGGAACTGGCATTTTAGCAGCGCGAGAATTAGGAATTTGTATTAGGATGTCTTACCGTAGAGAGGATTGTAGTGAAGTGAGTTGAACGTATGCTGATCTCTTAACTGACCGTCGGTCTGCTAGAACAAAAGTTTTGCTTACCAGAGTGGTCAGATCAAGTGAATATGACTTGAAACGATGAGCAGCGACGGGATCAATTCTTTTGGCTTGTGACGAGCGGAAACTGAGCAAACATCTGCAGCCTGGGGTGTACGTGCAAAAATTCTCTTTTCTTGCTGAGATGGAAAGTTATCGATACTTTAGACTAATTATAACCAAGTTTCAGTCCACGGGCATCCGTTTCAGGTCTGTCAGCTCATGTCAAATCTTATGTTTGTGGAATCCTTACCGATTTTTCAAGTTACCTTATTTCTCTCTACATAGTAAGCCTACACTCAGCAAAACAAGATGTACACAAGCAGAAGAGATTAGTTTTTAAGCCTAGTCATATGTGACAACGCTAAGCTCTTATAAATCGAGTAGCTGACGCGATATTCATTACCGCGCACGAAACATGGAATTCATTTTTCTCAGCAGGGAATGGGAGATAAACAATTTTAAGGTCACTTAAAAAATAAAAAAGATAAAAACAATCGATATGATAATCGTAACGTTGATGACATCAATGATAAACTCTCCCTTAAACAGGATCTACAAACGTTTACTCGTATTTACCTTGGAACAGTGCCGAGCCTAGATATATGTCAAGAGGTGAGGTGATGACTAAGCCGATATCAAACACTGATTAACTGTTGTCTTTCTGCAGTTTCAGCTTTAGGGGCCAGGAACTTTTTATCATCGGGGAAGAGGGGGAGAGGTTGAGAAGGGGGGGGGGATCGCATGCATGTTTTTCAGGGGGACGTAGGGTGGATCAGTCGTCACTAACAGAGTATGAGAGTATAAAGGAGGGGGCCTTTAGGAACTTGACTGCCAACTTGAGAGAGGATCATTAGAACTCTACAGAGTCTTAAGGGAGGATCAGGTAAATTTTATTGTGGCACAACCAAAATCCTCCGAAATTTCCCCCCCCCCCCCGCCTCGTCACCGGCGATGAATAATGACGGGTCCCTTGGATAGTCATGCGCGTGAGAGTGCGGGGGTGGTGTGGGGGGTAGGCATTTATAGATTATGCTAGCATAATTTTTGGTATAATTCGAGCAAACTGGCATAATTTCTGCCAAGTAGCAATGCTAGCATAATTTGCGCATTTTGATAATTATCAGATCATTTTTGATGCCATTATTTGATAATTTTTTGTCTCTAGTCCCAAGCACTTGGTGACCTTAATCGATATTTAAAGTTTTAGTTAAACTAGTATCATTTGTAGTTCACTGTGAAGCACTGAGCCCAGGTTTAACCTGAACAACATGTTTATTTGAAATTCATTGTGGATTTGTTGCGTTTCTTTCCTGTAGACGAACGGCTTCTAGTTAAAAAATATATATTTTGGACTTATTTGCATTTTTTCAAAGAGCATAATTTAAAAAAACGGTGGCATAATTTGGAAAAAAGAGCATAACGTTAGCACAATTTGGCCAAAAAAAAAAAGCAATGCTAGCATAATATGCCACTTTTACTAGCATAATCTATAAATGCCTAGTGGGGGGAAGGGATGGAGCACTTGAAAATTGGCCTTTTTCAAGACAAATCCATCCGTTTTTACCCGGTCAATACCACAAATGTATCCGTAAAACCTTGCTGAAAGCTTTGTTGATCGAAACGCGTAATTTGACAATTGTGCTTGGACTATGGGTGTTTGTAACAGCATTTTTTTTAGCGAAAAGTTGCCGCCATCTTAGATTTTAATGGCAGGGGAAGGCTGGGGGGAGAAAGTAATTTGTACCAAGGGGATGAGGGACGGTCATAAACAAGGAGAGGCTGGGGTGGAGGAGTGACTATTCTTTTCTTCTCGCCCTTCCCCCGCCCCCTACCCCCACCGTCCACTCTGAACCCAAAGCAAACATGGCGATCGGATAAACGATGACGAGCCTATAACCTCAACTGGTCCTTAAAAGACACCTGCACTGCAAGCTACATGCCGAGAGGACCTCTAAAATCCTTTCTCAGAACGAACGAGGAAACACATATACCCCTCCCCCTCTTAGAGGCTCCAAAAAACTATGCCCGTCGGCGTCGATTGAACTTTGTATCTTGTAGATGCCAGAGATAAAATTTGCATCCGTACCTTACTTCCATTATTTTTCGTGGTCAACCAATATTTGAACCTGCAACGATTCCATTTTCGATATTTGATTGCTTCCCTGAGCCAAGCTTAAGTTTTAATCATCTTGGAAATCCATCCTGACATAACAATTATAGTTACAATTCAAGCATACTGAACATGTGTGCCCTCTTTTTGCGTTTTTCTGGCGAGCAGAGGCCAACGCGGTCTTTCTCTATCACTGCGACTCGTACTTCACCCTCGCCTCGCACCCGCCTCACGGTCGCACGTGCTTCCGCGCGACTGAAAAACGCAAAATAAACTACGGCCGTTCTGCAGGCTTTTGTTGATAATACGAAGATCTTTCGTGGTTCATGATTCAACTCCTAACTATACCCTTTAGTCTCCATCTTCATACGTTAGAAGTGTTTCTTCTCAAATCTCAGTATACGAGGCAGTAGGATCTCGGAAGAAAGTCATAAATAGTAAAATTATAATCGAAATACATATATCGAGACTCATCAAAGCAAGGAATAGACTCCGCTCAATTTGATCCACCAAAACTAAAATGACTAACACCGGTACAT